GCTACTACTACTAATACTACTACTACTACTACTACTACTACTACTACTGCTACTACTACTACTACTACTATTACTACTACTGCTGCTGCTACTACTACTACTACTACTACTGTTGCTACTGCTACTGCTACTACTGCTACCACTGCTACCTATTGCCACTCTCACCTCTACCGATACGAAGAAGACGACGACAACGACCATTTCTACCACCAAAAAGTTGACGAGGACGACGACTGCGAGAATTGGCAAGAATGGATCGACAGATTTCTCTGTCAATAACTTTCCAAAAGCCGTAGCATTACATCCGAGTAAGACAACCAGAGCCAACCAAGGGTTTGTTGGTTCTCCCTTTGCAGCAGAGGCCAGGGTTACTTGTGAGCACGCACTCAAGCGTAGCACTCTTTGAAGGCTTGCGTCCATGACATAGGTGAAACCGTGAACCACTTCTTTTCAACAGAGTCACAGAGGAGAGAGCGTTCATGATGATGAAGGTGCTGATAGGAATGATAGGAATCCTGTTGCCGTTACTGGTTGTCGCACCCCTTCAGCTTGAACACTCCCAGGGTGTCGTCGTCCAGCGCGAGGAAGGTGCGCAAACGCTTGTAGTACGGGGAGGGGAAAACTGCTTGTTGGCATCCACCTTCTTCTCAACGTACCCCCAGAACCACATCCAGGCATTCTCGCTCCAAGTTTCATCGCGACGGCAGCAGGGATCGCAGAGAAGCGAACATCGCGGACGTAAATTCGCATAAAGTGCGACCTTGTCGTAGCGGGCCAGCGTTAGCGCCAGGACGTCGCACTCCTCTTGCATGCGGTCGATGTTGCTGACGTACGGAACCAGGGACTGCATGGCATACAGGATGTCCACGAACCATCTCCGATCCCCCACCCCCAGGACCGAGGCGTAGCTGCTCAAGCTCAGGTCAGCAGGAGCCCAGCTGCAGAGCTAAGCTCTGCAGCTGCTCCGCTGCGGCCTTTGCTGTGGGCCTGTGCCATGGCTCCCTGTCGACTAGGGCGGCCACATACTGTGCAAGCACAGGAGGCAGGGTCGACATCTCGTCTGAGTCGATTGGGTTGCCAAAAAGTGCATCCAGCAGCGGGGCATCCTTGGGTGGCTGAAGGACATCACACAGCGACTTTCCGGCAGAGTAGATGTCGGTGGATGTGTCAAAATCTCGGCCTGCCAAAAATTCAGGCGAGGCGTACGCCGTGCTGCATGAGCCCCTCTCTCAGCTGTCAAATCCACCGCTGTGCCGAAGTCGGCAAGAACTGCCCTGTTCTTGGAATCGAACAACACGTTTTCGGGTTTCAAATCGCAGTGCACGATCTTGAAGTGGTGCACGTGCTGCAATCCCTGCAAGACGTCTTTCATTGCCCCTGTGGCTTGAGGGGCTTCCTGCGGTGCCGCCGGGCAAGTGTTGCAGCACTAGGCTTAGGATGATGGTCCCATTCACTGGGTGCTGGTCACCGTGCAAGCGGATCAGGTTGACGACGTTCGGGTGATCACCCAGTTTCTTTAAAATCCGTTCCTCAACTAGAACTTCATTTCGGTCCCCACATTTCCTCGTCTTGTGAGCATTGCCATCCACAAGCCACACTTCACAATAAATTGCCGGTGCCGAGCAGCTTGGACGCTTGCCTTGCATGGCCGACAAAGCTGCAGGCAAATGGTCTCAACCCAACGCAAGTTGGGTTGAGACCGTTTGCATGCAGCTTTGTCGGCACCGGCTTCTTGCGCAGCCGGCTTTCCTTGGGCCGCCCAATAAGCCACTCGGGGCTTCGGCGCCACCTCAGCGGCTGGGACTCGAGTTTGTAAGAACCCGGCCCTGGACCGCCATGCCGCGGAGGCGGCGGGAACCTCCTCGCCCGAGAAATAGCCATGCCACAAGAAAAAAACACACACAGACAGTGTCAAGTGGTGACAGCTAAACTGATCACGAAGCTCTACCAACCTTCTTGAGCCCTTAAGCATGCCATCAATACTTCGTGTCACCCTCAGGCACTCTTCAGACACAAACATATTTGAATAACTTTGCAAGTACGAACGGTGGTGGTAGTGGCAGCGGTAGTAGCACTAGTAGTAACCATAGGCTCCATGGTAGTTCCTTTGGGGGGTTCATATTTAGGATCCTATAAGGTAATCCCCAAAAAGGAACTACAATGGAGCCTATGTATACTCATGACAATACAACTGCAGCCTGTGCGGCTGCGAAGAGGCCGAGAACCTTCCACTTCAAGGAGGGCGCCTGGGGGGCTTTAAGGCTTTCAGGGTAGGGTTTAGGGTTTAGGGTTTAGGGTTTAGGGTTTAGGGTTTAGGCGGTTAAAGCTTTCAGGGTTCAGGGCTGTTATAAGAATCCCACACTTCTCCAGTTTGGGGTTCGCGGAGGAGGTTTTGAAGTTGGCAACGCCAAAAAAGTGGAGCGGGAAGCTCCGTGGTCCACCCTACTGCTGGAATCCTACGAGAAGCCTAGGTACTAGGTACCTGCTCTGACCAAGTACATGCTTCCACTTGGTGGGTACTTGTTGGTACTGGCGGTCCAGGCGTCGACAACAATACAGTCAGAGGAGGCCTTCAACAGTACCTTGGGATTGGCAGCCAACACCAACCCTAGGCCCTAGTCATGAGCCATAAGACCTTAAACCGAACAACCAAAATCCACAAGCTCTGCAAAGAAAACGAAACAAACTTATCACCCGAAGATTGAAAACCCAAAAAACGAAGAACTCGCAGCCCTCAGTCAATGCATAAGGCTCCGGCCTCGACTGCCAAATCTGCCGAGAGGGTGCCCCAAAGGAAGACCTTCGTCTTTGCAGAGCGGACTAGCAACGAAGACAGTTGCAATGGTATCGCAAGCAATGGTAAGTATACCAGGACTTAAGTAGAAGTTATGGCAGTCGGACCATAGCCGTAGTAGCCGCTCATGATTCGGCCTTACGATGGAAGTTAAGCAGACTCGGCACTCTCAGCGGCCCTCTTGCAGGCGTGCGCAGGCTCCGGAAACAGGCCGTGAAAGAACCTCCCCGACGCAGGATACCCGAATACAGGGGCCTCAAACAGTTAGAATGGGGTTTCGGGGTGTATAATACCCTAACTCTAAGAAGGAACCCTCAGGAATAACAATATTAGTGATTACTTAGGCAACGAAATTAGACTCTGCTCTCACTCTAATAAGGAACCCGAAGAAATCATGATATTGGTACTTCTTTAGGCCCTCATATTCGACCCCAATAAAAAGGCTGAACCCTCAGGAATACCATTACTATAGTGCTTAATTCGGCCCTTACATCTTCGACCCCAAAAGGCCGAACCCCAAGGAATCATATTGGTACTTAAAGTTTAGGGTTTAGGGTTTAAGGCCTTATCTTCGACCCCCAAAAGGCTGAAGTACCAAAAAATAATATGGATACTTGCGTAGGCCCCGATCCCAAGAGGGAGTTTCCGTTAATAGGGGGTGCCCGGTACCTTCTGTTTGTCCTTATAAGGGGTGCCCGGTACCTTCTGTTTACTATATTACCTAAAGTCTCCATTCTAGTTCCTTTTTGGGGATACCTTATAAAATCCTCAGTATATGTTTGGTTAAACCAAAACATTGAACTACAATGGAGACTATAGTCCAAGGTTGGAACCATGGGCCCCTAGTATGGCCCCCTAACCCTGGGATCCTTATGCACCTTTTGCATACCCTATATGTACCCTTGAGGGCCCCTAGAACCCCCTAAGGGCCCATTCTGAGTAGGGTCCCCTGTTTTCCAAAACCCCCCAGAGGCTGAGCTGCAGGGCCAGGGAGATCCCGAGACCGGCCAGGACCGCCAGCCATCGGAAGATGGAGAGCCTCGGATTTTGAGGGTTGCGGGGTGAGGGGGTGGGGGTTTAGAGAGTCTAGAGTTCAGGGTTTAGAGGTGAGGGCTTAGGGTTTAGGGTTTAGATGAGCAGCAGGAAGTTCGAAGGATACACAAACTGCAGCGCTTGCCCTCTGAGGCTCCACTAGAGATTGCTAGTTGAAAAAGGGTGTCGGGCTTAGGGTCAGAGTTTAGCGTTTGGGTTTAGTTCCCCGCCATGAATTCAGGGATCCGACTTGGAACCCAAGGGAGACGATGTACCGCAAGTTGCTACCGTCGTATCGGAGACCTGTTCGAACGCCTGTAATACACTAGTTAAGTTACCATTATGTACTGTAGCAGGCTGTACAACATTTGTAGCAACATGACAAAATGTAGTAGACGGCTCGCAACTCCGTTGCATGTCTGACAATGCACTGATTTGTCAAGCAACTTCCATCCATCCGTCCATTCGTCTGTCCATATCAATTACATGCATACATGCTCTCAGACACACATGCATCCATGCATGCATCCATCCACCCACCCATCCACCACAGCGCCCATCCAACCATACATGCATACTGGTACAAGCGGGTTGCATCCATCCTCCGGTCCGTCCATCCATCCTTCCATCAATACTTACATGCTAGCATGCATGCATACACAAAAATGCATGCATGCACGCATGCATGTATGCTTACATGTTACATGTATGTATACACTCGCATACACGCATACCAAACCCACATGCACACAAATATGTTCATACTTTCAGTTGTATACATATACATACATGTAAATAAATAAATAAATATATATTTATATATATATATATACTTACTTACTTACCGAATAAGCCAGGAAAACAAAAGGTTAAACTGTCGGATTGCTACTAAATTATAAACACCCAATTAAAAGTTTTACCTACATACCTACATACACACCTGCCTACCTAAATGCATCACATTACATCACATTACATTGCATGAAAGCATACATACATACATACATACATACATACAGACAGACAGACAGACAGACAGACACAGACATATGCATGCATGCATGCATGCATGCATGCATAGTGCATGCACACATATGTATACGTAACTGCACGTACATATGTCTGTGTATGTATATTTACACGTGTGTGGTGTATAATATATACATAGAGGGTTCGTGCACATATACTTACATGCATGCACACAGGCAGATAGATGTGCGTGTGCACATGTATGAAGCACATAAGAGAATCTGGGACTCCCGTGATCTGGACAATCACGTTCTCGTTACATATTCTTCCCTTCGGCGCGACAATAGCCTCTGAGGTGCATACGGGATCAAGCAAATCACAGACATGGGAATCATAGGAGTCAGCGAGTAGCCGTAGACACAGATCACCTGGCCACCAGAACAATTTTGCGATTTGCACGATTGCAGGGCAACTGAAGCCAATGTAAGGGCACAGGCCAAACAGAATGGAAGCTGTCATTGCGACACGACTTCGAATTTTGATCCCAGGTAGTCTCGGCAAGATGTCGTTGGAACTCGCGAGCAATATCAGCAGCAAGCCCAAAGCATGGTGAGCTCAAATCCACTTAGTTGGCTGCTGTGCACATTGATCTGTCGGTAAGCCTTCCGACGATAATCGAACATTTTTTGCTGATGGTACAAGAAGCGGAAGCCCCTACAACTAAAACTTATAACTCGAAACTTTCAAAGCAGACTAAAACACCAGAAGCCCACTTCAACACTACGAAACGCTACAAAAGAAAGCACTGCAAACATCCCAACCCTGATAGAACCCTACGGCAGAACCCCCGAAACAAAAACCTTCAAACAGCCCAATAAGGCCGAAATCTGGCCTGCTTAAAGTTGATGCTATCGACCGACCTCGGCAAAAGGACATCTCTGTGGGGCTGATGGGTCTTGGCCCGGGGGTTCACGGCCTTGCACCGTCTTCGCTTCAAGGTTTACATGCACATACGAACTACGAACAGAAACGGCGTATCGAGCGAAAACGAAAGAGATGCAGGTTTCCTAAATCCGGTACGAGTAGACGCCAAACCGATCAGCCCAAGGCACCGACACCCCGTTGCAGACATGCGGCTGCCCAGAGCAGTAGAGCCCCAGCCGCGTGGCCAGTGGGACGCCCACTAGGAGCCCGTAGACCATCGAGGCAGCCTTCAAGCAGGCAGAAGCTACCTGTTGTGTATACGTGTTTTTGCACATGGGGGGTTCCGAAAATTAGGGTCCGTATAATAAGGATCCTACTATTTGGGGTACTATATTAGGGTCCCCTATTTTTGGGAACCCCCACATGTCCGCACGCACGTAGTAGCAGCACCGGGTCTTGGTATGTGCCTGGTTGGCTGATCAGCTAGTTAGGTAGTAGGTAGTTAGGGCATTAGCCGCTCAGGGCGCCTGACCTCAATGCCTCGCCAGCTAGCTAACCAACGAACGAGCGAATGAAAGAACTAACTAGCGAACTTTACAGCAACTTTCTTGCGAACTGGCTAGCTACCTAGCTAACAAGCTGTAACTAGCTAGCTGACTAATCGACGAACTAACTAAATAACTAACTATCCAACTAACACTAACTGACTGACTAGCCAACTCACTGAGTTCAGCTATTCAGCAAGAGAGCGAATCAGATGGCCCAGCGACTTGGCTGGATAGTTGGCCAGCCAGCTGCTCACTTAGCTGGTGAGTCCTGTCTGTGGCTGCAGCACTTGCAGCAGCATCAAACACACCGTTTTCGTACATCCATCCTGCTGTGCGGCTCACACTACCCATAGGCTCCATGGTAGTTCCTTTTTGGGGTTCAGATTTAGGATCCCAAAAGGTAATCCCAAAAAAGGAACTACAATGGGGCCTATGGGTACCTTGCATACTTGGAGGTTCATGGGTAGCTATACATGGGGTTAGAAGTAGGGTAACTATACTTATAACCCACATTAGGGGACTTCTAACCCTACTTGTAACTACCCATGAACCTCCAAGTAGATACTTGGGTAGTTTTCTAAATAAGGGTCCCTTTTGGGGTCCTTTTTATAAGGGTGCCGCACTATATTGGGGACCTAAAACGGGACCCTAATTTAGAGAACTACCCACTTCTCAGCAGCTCAGGGCTCCAGGCCACGCTGACGAGGGAGTAGTCGGACTTGAAGGTCGTCTCGTCCTGGCCGCAGAATTTACGGTTTAGGGTTTAGGCTTAGGGTTTAGGGTTTAGGGTTTAGGAGTAAGTAGGTAGTAAGTAGACTTATAAGTACCCTGAAAGGGACGCTAATTGGGGTTGGAGTACTTATAAGTCTATAAAAAAACCATTTACCAAGTCCCCCGACCCTCCAAGTAGGGCTTCGGGGAGGTGAGGTTTAGGGTATATTGTTTGGGGTTTAGGGTTCCGAAACCTTGAGAAAAAAAGGGTTCAGGCACTTCCAGGAAATTTACGCGCGTATTTCTCTAGCCGAAACCTATCTACACGAACTGTCAAGACGAAAGATTTGAAAATCAACTTGCCCCCTGGCCGGATGCGAAACCAAGACGACAGCTGTCTCGCTCTTTGCATGACGCTAACAGGTGCCCCACAGTTGCTCAAACAAGTTGCCACAAACGTTAGATCCGGTTAACGCTTTTTTGCAGTGAGCCCACAAGGCTCGAAGCACACACTGAGCCGAATCTACCGCGGTTTTTTCTGCCACGACGTTCAAGACCTGTGCCTGGCAACCCATAGACTCTGGGATCCTGCAAACCGTGTAATCCTGAACACTACGATCCTCGCGCTGACCTCACAAAACGTTAACCTGCATGTGCAGAATCCTGCCAAAACTATTTCTAGCTTCGTAAAGCCCTGTGTACCAGATTGGCCGAAGCCTCCAACGGTCCAATGAGTACCCTAGCCAAAAAAAGGTTAACCTTCTAAATTATAGTAGGATTATATAAGCCCAAAAAGGTGAAAGGCTACCTACTCAGCCCCTATGTGGGAGTTTCCGAAAATTGGGGTACCTTATTTTGGGGTCCTTATAGTAAGGATCCTATTATTTAGGGTACTATACTAGGGTCCCCTATTTTCGGAAACCCCCATGTAAACAAGAAAGCTCAGAAACCCCTAGAAGCCCAGAGATCCGCCTCGGTCTCGAGCAGCCGCGCGAAGTTCCCTGTCGCCTGACATCCCAGAGAACCCAATACCCCTTAATTAAGGAATAGGGGTTTAGGGTTTAGGGTTTAGGGGTTAGGGTTTAGGGAATATACCTTAATTTATAGGGGCCCGAATATTATGATTTAAGGTATATTCCTTAATTAAGGGCTATTGGGTTCTCTGGGATAAATGCCCCCCACCTTCTCGCGGCCCGGCTCACCCCGACCCCTGAACTAGAACTCGAGAACATATAACGTCGGCCATGCAGCCTGGTTTGCTTGCATGGTGAGCCCTTGCTGCATCAAGCTTCCCAAAGTCGCATTGAAAGACAGTAGACAGAACTCGGTTACCAAGAAGACTTGCAGCGCTCATGCAATAACAGCCTCATGGGCTCAGCAGTGCGCAGGACGAGGGAGACGGGTGACCAAACAGGTCATGCCATGCCGAAACCCGTCCGCCGTGCAATACTACACGACATGACATTGTAACTGGGCTGCTATATGCCTTGGTCTAGCATACTAAAGTTGAGGTACCATGTACAAGTAAAAGCGTGTCTGGAAGTGTGCGTCCTGGCAGATCGATTCCATTTCTCTGTAAAGTAGGCGTCTTCAAGTCTCGATCGTACACTTTGGGCTTGACTCCGCTCGAAAACCAGAACCCGATGATACCCCATGACTAGCCGGCGGCACGGCCAAGAAGAGCACCGCAGTGGTGGCGACCCAGAAAGGCCCGTAGAAATCAGGCCTGTGCCGGAACTCTATATATATAATATAATTTATATATATATATATATATAATACAATATAATATAATATAATATAATATAATATAATATTATATATATATATATTATATATATAGAGTACACAACGTCATGGGGGCCCGTGTTTTTGGGACCAGTGCTTATGTTATGGCAGAGTTTTGGGTGCAGTTCAGATGTTAGTTGTGACCCTGATTTCCACAACACCCTGCCGACGTGCTCGAAGGTGCTCACAGCACATAAGCGCAGGAGTTGAACCGACAGCATCATGAGCAAAACTGGTGTAAGCTTGGGGATTTGTGCCTCTGTAACTCTGTCTTTCTGTTCTTTTTTATATTTATCTCTCTCTCTCTCTCTCTCTCTCGGTCTCTCTGTATTTATCATTGTCTTGCTTTATCTCTCTATATATCTCGTTCCCGTGTTCTGTCCCCTGTCCCCTGTTCGCTGTCCCTTGTCCCCTGTCCCCTGTCCCTTGT